TGGGCCAGACCCGGAGCTGCAGCTGCTTCGGAGGCTGGGGGGAGAGCAGCGTGGCCAGAAGCAGAGAGACTCTGACCCCGCCTCTTTCCTTCTGGCTTTGCTGCCTGTGCTGCCTCTCCTTGCTCCCTCTGTTGGGGGGAGGGGCTGCGTCCCACCTCTCCCTCTCTATACCCTTTTTTACTAAAAAAATTCGGCTTATGAACGAGTATATACCGTAACTGAAATACACATGGAAAAATTTAAATAATCGATTTTAGTTGAGTCTTTCAACTTGGAGATTTGAATCAGGATATAAATCACCTTGATTTAAAATCAATCCACCCTGGAGATTAGTGATAATCTCAGGCTTCATTTTTAAAAACTTAAGTACATTTCTAGCCCTCTTGGACGCAAAGCTTGAAAATGTGTCCCCCATGTATCTAAAAGGGTCAAAAATAAGAAGGGCAAATAATAAGAACCCAAAATTTATTATGTTTAAATATCTCATAATTCAAGTGAATTAAAGTAAACTGAACTAAGGCCACTTTAATTCTAAATGATGGTGTCCACGCAGGAGTTTAATGCATTTTAACTAATCCACTTTCCATTCACACTATTAGTTAATTTGGATTAATTTTCCTGAGTGTCCCCATGTAAACAAGCCATTAGAAAAAACTGGCATATAATGAAATGTCATAGGCAACCTTAATTATATGTGCAGTTGCACAGCTTGGCCTACAATAGCACTGGGTTACCATATCATAAACAGATTACCTTCTGCTCATGAAAATAGCATACATATAAAATTATGTAGGTTTTCAATATAATTGTTAAGAATGAAGAGTTCTCGAGAAGCAGCTTAAACTTGTTGTGAGCACATAATTATATTTAGATGCAAGATTTTTAGGGCAGCAACTGTCTTTCCATCATAAATGTATATGTAGCATGCCTAGAACACTGGGACCCTGATTCTCAACTGGCGCCTCTTGGTAATATCTCAGTACAAATAATAAATACTACTACTATATACTATACATTGAATTTATATTTTTTGTGGTCAAAATTAAAGTGGTCATGTGAATTCCCATTTTTTATTTGTACTCATATGCAAGTGTATTGACTGAAAGTAGCATGTATTTCTAAAACGGTGAAAGAACCTTAACAGAAGATTCTCCAATTTTTAACTGTTTGGATTATTTAGAAACGCATTAAGCAATCTTAACTACATGTTTATGCAGCTTTTTGTGCTGTAATATACACAAAATATTGAGTTCAATTTTGAGCACCACATTACCAAAAAGGTTTTTGACAAATTGGAGGGAGTTCAGAGAACAAACAACAAACGTTATCAGGAGGCTGGAAGGACTTATTTATGAGAAAAGATTAAAAGAGCTAAATATTTATAGTTTGGTTAAGTAATGAATGAGGTGATGGGGGGATATAACAACAGCCTACAAACATCTGAAGTGTGTAAACACCAAGGAAGGAGAGTTAATGTGTTATACAGGGACATAACAAGAAATAATGGGATCACACTAATCTATAAAAACATAGGCAGAATATCAGGAAACACTCCTGGACAGTAAGATGTACTAGACTGTGGAATAGTCTCCTAAGAGAAGTGGTACAAGCCCATTGCTTGGGACTTCAAAATAAGACAGAAGAAAACATTGGAAAATGTACCAGAAGAAGTCTTCACGGGTAACCGGGTGGGCTATATACTGTGTAGGCAGATCATTTCCATCTCTCACTTTTATATATCTGTGATGAATATGCCATATATTTTTACAAGCTTCAGAAAGATACTTAATGACTTTTCTTTGCAAAGTACACATTCAAAAATGATAAAATTCATCATCAGGAAAAACAGACACTGCTGTTAAATAAAAATAAATAAAATAAAAAGGTATTTAATTCCTTTCCTGTAAGTCTCTAAGCCAAAAAGTCATTTTTTTTTTTTTTTTTTTTAATTCTTTGAGGAGGAAAAATACAACTAGCCTGCACACAGCTTCATGGGCAGGACTGCATCTTCTTCCAGCAGAGGTCACTCCAGGATAACAATTTGCAAATATCATTATAACAAAGATTCAATGTTTATTTTTTACGGAAAAAAATTGGTAAATTGTTTCTATTTGTATTACTACTGTAATACAAACAACAACAAAAGCATAGAGGTCTGCATAATAATTAAGATACTTTATATTTATGCCATGCGGTCCATCCATAGATCTAAAAAGACTGGGTAATCATCCTTTAAAAATGCATAAAATAAGTGCCCAAGATCACAGAGAAAAGTTGCATGTACACAAGTAGAGACTGGGTTGAAACACCTTTGAAATGTGGACCTCAATGTCCACAGAGGGGGGACTCAGACTGAGATTTTTCAAATCAGAACGGGGGCGGGGGGAGAGAAGCCGAGTTTTTTGTTTGTTTGAAAAAGAATGATTGCTAGCTTACAAAAGAGCTTAAAGCATGGTTATAGCCTGCAAAGTGACTCTTAAAATGACACCAAACGTCCATATTTATCTTCTTCATTTCATCTGTACACAAATCAACAGATGAATATTTGACAGACAGCCCTGTAAACTCTGATTATCAAGTATAGATCTTTCTGGTTTATGCATTATCCCCATAACAACAATTCTGCAAGCTTAACAGAATTTCATTCACGATGCATGGGTCAGAATAGAATCCGGTGCTCTATTCCATTACTACTTTTAGCAAAACTCTGTTGAATAAAAAGGTGCAGGTATAATATTAGTCATGTTCTGACAATAATTATGGGGTGTTTTTTTTAAATGCTCTAAGGGCAGTTTAAAGCCTGATATTTAAATGTTATAAACCCTTGTTTTTGAAAAAATGAAAAACTGAAAGTTTCTATAATTTTTCATTAAAAACAGAAATAGGTTTGCTTTTAAACATTCCCCAGTGTATCCAACCCAGAATGCATTGTGAGGATAACTCTCTTAGTGCCTCACAATTTTGTTTACTGAGGAAAGAGCAGAGAAGCTCTTAGGAATACTTGGAAACAGTCACAATCCATTCAATGCACTGGCCAACAGCTTACAAGAGACTTTTTATATACTAAGCTAAAAATGACATGAGGATTCCGACAGTCAACATCTTTTTTTTTTTTTAAATTATTATTTTTAAAAATATTTTAAGTGCCTGTTAAAGATCTGGCAGTGTGGAGGCTCTCTCTTTGTCCATAGAACAATATGGCTAGGGCAGCAGACAACCAATATTTCTCATACTACTCCCCTCTAGTGGGGAGAGAGTATTTCAGTCTTCATGTCCACTTAGTCCTTGACCAGACAACAAAAGTGTCAATGGTGAAAAAGGGGCTGAGAACAGCCACATGGGAACAGTCATGAGATGACGACAACTTTTGGTCTCAAACAGCCTGGGCTAAAGTCAAACTGTTGGCAGGAAAGCAAGAGGCTCCAGATCCCATTACCAACCCCCTTAACTACCCCAGTTTCCCAATAGTCTGTTAACTTTCTAAAGCCCTTTGTGGATTTTGTTATAAAATTTTACAAAAATATGAAAACAGAAAAGATTTCATTGTTTTGAGTCACTCTGTGAGATGTACTGTGTGTACCATTAGCAGTCTGGTGGATTTTTAGAGTAAGTGAACTTTCAGTGGGACTAGTAGCATACCTTACCTGCTTCTTTGCACAAGGCTGCCAAGTCTGCTCCCACATAGCCATGTGCACTATCAGCCAGCTGCACCAACTCTGTTGTTGTCAACAGATGAGGAACCTTATTAAGAAGTTTTCTGAGGATGTCGAATCGGTCTTGGGCATTGGGGACCCCGATTTCTATCTCTTTATCAAAACGCCCAGGTCTGCGTAACGCTGCATCCAGTGCATGCGGACGGTTTGTAGCGCCCAGTACCAAAAGTTGCCCTGCACTGTCTTCCTAATGAGACAAACAAATAGAAAAACAAGTTAGATTTTAAAACGGTGTTAAAGACCTCACAATTTACACATGCTTATGTATTTGTTCAGATAGCAAACTAGAGCCTTCTTCTAACCCCAAAAGAGTAAGTAGTATTAATACACACACAGCACCTTACAACTCATCAGATGAGGAATCATCATGTGCTGGAACTTTTGGGACAGGAACTGAGCCCCTGGTATCAAGTTGGGGAGGACAGCATTGTTCCCATTAGAGCTGAGCAAAAGAATTTCAGTTCCACAGGAAATTTCTATATTTTAACATTTGTTTTTGTCCGAAATTGGAGAAAAAGTTGAAATACCTTAATTTTTCACAGGATGCAGAGTTCTGAACATTTTCAATTCAGAACGCTTTTTTCGGTTTGCTGAACTAACATGAAACTTTTTTTTTTTTTTTTTTTGAGTCAGCTCAACATTAAACTGCATTTTCCTATTGTAGCACATTGCCTCATGGGAGCTGTAGTTCAGGAGCCTGATGCCTCCATCCTCCTTATAGGCCAGGCTCCCTGGCCAGACTACATCTTCCATGATGCACCTCAATATATGTGACTACCATGAGGCACCATGCTGCTGAGTCCCAGGAAAGATAGTGTTGCATGTTGGGCAATATAATCATATCAGAGAACACAGCCCAAAGGAGAATATGGGAATATGAACTATAATCCCCATGGGACAATTCACTATAATAGGGAAATGAAGTTTAATATTGAGCTGACCCCCAAAAAATTGTTTCAGGTCAGTTCAACAAACCAAAATATTTTGATTCAGATCAAAATGACCCAAAATTAAAAAAAATTGATTTCCCCTACAGAAATATTGAAAAACTGTGTGTGTGTGTGTTTGGGGGGGAGAATCCCACAAAAATTTCAAATTTTCCAGAAAACTGATTTTTCCTTTGTAAAATCATTGCAACAGAAAAATCCTGACCAGCTGTAGTTCTCATTAAACAGACAACACCACATAATGGACTACAATGGGTTCCAGTAATCCTCTAGATTGTCATGCTTATCTCCTCTAACCTCATCTCAGAAGTAACATCTATAACCTTCTTTATCTTCTCCTTTGGCTACACCTACTATAGCTCCAGATGGATTAATCTCCTTAATGAAGGGGGAAGGAGCTCTTTTTCTAATCCCAGGAAGTCAAATTTCTACAAAATCTTGGATGCTGCTCTCTGGGTCAGGTTTAATGTTCTGGCCCAAATGAGCCAAGTGGTATGACAGTCCTTGCCGCCTCAAATCACCCAAGATGGCGGCCATTACTCTGATGAATATACTCAGGCAGACAATCAAAGAGAAGGAAGCAATACAGAAATTAAAACTGTCCAGAGCAAACAGAAGAAGCCTCTAGTTGGACTAGCCCATAAAGAGTATACAAATATACATCTTTCAGGTTAGTCAATGTAAAGTAGCAAATAGAGTTTCCAAAGAGAATTTACAATTGATTAACTGATTCACTCATTAAGATCCAGAAGCACCTCCACCCTCCTCCAGTATTTTTATTCTTAAAAGTTTATTAAGAGAATATTTTTCTCTGGAAATATGAGAAAAACTAAAAGCACTAAAGCTAAAACAAATTTAAGATTTTGAAACTAAAGTATTTCAAGGAGGTAACACTATTACATTAATAATCATAATAAATAATATTTTCCTCCTTTTTTTAAGTGAGCAAAAAAAAAAAAAAAAAAACCCCTAAGGTGACACTTTGGGGGGGAGGGGAGGGGGAAAGAGAGAAACGGAGCAGAAATTAATGAATGAAGTAATCCCAGATAAAAGAGAAAGGACTCATCTCTTTACAAGGTATTCCATGCCCATTAGGCCAAGAGACAGACAGACAGACTTCCTCCAGCACGGTACTACTCCTTAGGATAATCATAACATACTGTGATCTATTTTGAAACAGGGATGGAAAGGCTGAGATTTGGTTTCTGACTTATAAAAGAAAAGGCTACCCTCTCCAAAAATGTGGGGCTCACTCTGTATTTAACTACATATTTCCAGACAATGAAAATGATCTTCCTCTTGGAAGAGGATCTGATTTAGTGGTATGTGTCAGAACATTTGTTCTAGGGTGATGACTGGGAAGGTCTTTAAATCATGATTTGAGTACCGTATATACTCGATCATAAGCTGGTTCGTTTATAAGCGGACCCCCACAAGATGGATAAGTAAAAATGGAAAATTTGTGTGACCCGTTCATAAACCAACCCTATAATTCAGGGGTCAGCAAACTTTGGCTCCGGGGCCATCAGGATAAGCCGCTGATGGGCCAAGATGGTTTGTTTACCTTGAGGATCCGCAGGCATGGAGGTAAACCTAAGTAAACAAAGTGTCCCGGTGCCCCAGCTGCTTACCCTGACGGGCCGGGACAACAACTGGTAGGGAAATTGGGGTGGGGGTGTGGAAGCTGGGGGTCAGGGGAATTACCCCTGTGACCACTCCCCACATGACCCCACCCCTAGCCCAGGATTCCCACACTCTCCCCATCTCATCTCTTCCCACCTTATCTGGGGAGGATGTCTCTGGCCTGGCTGGAGCTGCTCCGGCAGGCTGGGAAGCGCGGCTGAGCCTGCTCCGGCAGGCCAGACCAGGAGGCGCGGCCGCAGCATGTTCCAGCGGGCTGGGCCGGTTGGCACAGCCGCAGCATGCTCTGGCGCCCGGGCGGCGCAGCCACAGCCTGCTCTGGGGGGCGGGGCCGAGCAGCACAGCTGCAGCCTGCAAGCCCCAGAGCTGCAGCTGCTTCGGAGGCTGGGGGGAGAGCAGCGTGGCCAGAAGCGGAGAGACTCTGGCCCCGCTTCTTCCCTTCTGACTGTGCTGCCTCTCCTTGCTCCCTCTGTTGGGAAGAGGGGCTGTGTCCCACCTCTCCCTCTCTATACCCGTTCATAAGCCGACCCCCTTCTCTGGTGCTTCCCTTTTTTACTAAAAAAAATTCGACTTATGAACAAGTATATACAGTAATTCAGTGACTCAGACAGAGATTATGGGTCTATTGCAGGAGTGGGTGGGTGAGTTCTGTGGCCTGCAATGTGCAGAAGGTCAGACTAGATGATCATGATGATCCCTTCTGACCTTAAAGTCTACAAGTCTATGAAGTCGGAGGCACCAACATGCAGTAGCAGGGTATTGGACTGGAAATCGTAAGACCTATGTTTTAGCCACACTCACATTATCCTGCTGAGCGGCCTTACTCAACTCTCTCCACCTTTCCATTCTTTAGTTTCCCCATCTGAAAAGTGGTTCTATAGATGAAGAGCTAAGTAGTGCTATTATTTGTTAAGAGAGAGTTTTGAAAGTGTGGTGTTCAGAATGTCTCCAAAAAAAACTATCCTTAGAAAGAAGATCCATTGGTCTTTACTAATAGGAAATATCCCCTCCCTGTAGCCTTATATAGAGGGCTATTTGAGCTGCCAAAACTTTATGCAGGAAATTAAGGGAAACTTGCAGTTAACATCCACAAGATTTTTATACACACTGCTTCTAACTCTGTGCAGAAAGACACAGACCTCACACTCCTACTATCCTTTGAAAGATCATTGAAGTCAATAAGGCCCTAAAAAATTTAGTATGGGAACTGAAAGGGTATCTTAATGTGGATTTTGGATCCCTCAGCAATCCAGGCCAGACCAAAAAAAAAAAAAAAACACCACTACCAACAGTATTTTCATATTTTCATTTAATTTCCAAATAATCTGGTATCTGTTTTGACTTGATAAAAAGATGCCTCTGAAGTCTTACATTTATTGCCAAAACAATCAGAAAAGTGGGAGATGGGGAAGGACAAAAAGCAAATGGAAGAAGCTATATACCCTTTTCTCTTGCAATTCAAAAATGTCTCTGAATGTCAAAATACACACACATTATATATTTTTTATATAAGGTTTAATTTCTATAAGTGTCACAACAATATGGTGCGATACTCTGTTAAAGTAAATGTAATTTACTGAAGGAAATCACTTTTAGTATTAAACCTATCTATAGTTAGTAAGGGACACACGTCTTCTCTTTCTTTTCCCTTAAATTCAATAAGGATATTAGTCTAAAAGTTTCTTCTGATTCATCTTATGCTGGCCTGACTGTGCTACAAAACCTAATACAGTTTATTCAGTTCTTCCCCTTAATACACTAATTGTATCAATATACTTTACTTACTGAGCCAATGCCATCCATCAATGTTAGTAATGAAGCTACAACTCTTTTTTCTACTTCATTCTGAGCCCCTTCTCTCTTCGGACAGAGTGCATCCAGCTCATCAATAAATATAATTGATGGACGACTGAAAGAAAAATAAATAAAAGCAACTTATCTGCCAATTGTACATAGTAGCATTTAAAACATTTAGGCTTCGATTTTCAAAACTAATGGATATGGACACCCAATTCCCATTAAAATTAATGGGTATCCAAATCTCCAAGGTGACTGAAACTTTCAGGCCTGAAGTATGTTTCTGCTCCAATATATGTAAAATAATTGCATTCTGTGATTCCATGTTTATTGTTCTCAGATTCTATACTGACTTTATTCTGCTTATAAGTAAAAAATTGGCTTTTCTAGTTGCTGTCCCTGCAAACTTAAACTGGGACCTAAAAGTCAAGCTGGGTTCTCTCTTGCTCCTTCCTCGGTTGAATTTGGCCCTCCAAATGAATTTAGTTTACAATTCTATTGGTTAAACTTGAGTGAAAATATTTTAGTACTGAATCTGGCCCTATAGGTGCAGTCACACATGGTTTAGATAGCCATTAAAAACACTTAAGTACATACTACATGCCTATAGTAATCACAACTTTCATGTCCACACCAACAGGTTTTTCAAAAAACACACAATATTAAAATTCTGTAAGATTTTAACCAGATTTTTGTTTTTCCGCTCAATAATGTCAGTGACAACTTTCTACCATTCTGTTTCTATGATGAAATATGGGTAAAACAGAAGATGGGCTTCTCTGATTTAAGCTAAATGAGTCTCTCTTTTGGCTCAGGTGGCAGAACATTTCCACTGGAAATTAGAAATCATCCCAAATTAAATCTTTGCATCTAAACAGCCTTGGAACGAATGTAAACAAACTTCGGATCTGGATCCAATCTATCTAGCTTGGGTTCCTTTCTATTGGAAATGAGAGTTTTGAGTTCTAACGCCAACTAGGATGAGAATTTAATATTTTATTTAGGACACATGCTAATTGGTTTAGAATAATATACAACAGCCTCCTTAAATGACATTGCATTTATAATAAGGGACCAAAAACATAAAATTTGTACATTAGATTTCTCTTCTTTGCGCCAAGCTGTATATAAATAAAACTTATCTACATTTAAAATACCTTTGCAGGAAAAATATTACAATCCAGAGAATTTCATAAGCTTTTCTTTACACAATAATATCAAAATTATTTGATTATATGATTACACACATGAACATGTGTGTAATCAGAATGATCTAAAATGAATGTACCGTTGAGAGGCTTCAGCAAATATCTGTCGTAATCTTGATTCAGTCTCACCATAAAACCTGAAACAATCACAATATTTTAGTAACAGAACTTTTATTGTTTTCCAAGTTGGGGCAAGACTCTATTCCTTGAGTTTCCACAAGATGGTGTTCAAACCTTCAAAGCATCCCAGAGAATGTGTGGCTTGTCACAAAGGTTATTTTAAATTTGCATTTCCACTGGGATAAGAGACTAAGGCAAAATTTATCCTTTTTTAAAAATATGACCCATCTGTAGCCAGCAAAAATTAGGGGGAACAGTTTCTCTCTATCTAGGTCATAGAGATTCCAATTTTTCCACAACTAAACCAATGCTACCTGGACAAATTCTCATCTATAGACTCATTTTTCCCTTTATTTTACTGTGCTTTAACAAACAGTCCTTTTTCCTTGTTGGACATACAACTGGCATGCAGATGCAGTTCTAATTATCTTTCTAATTATTTATCAAATTATTTCCTTTTTTCCCATTCCACTGCCATACACACCTCTCTGTACTATACTAGATAAGATTCCTCTTCAAAGGAATGATGAAAACAGCCTCCTGTTACTTCATTTCACTGGGAGCTGACAACTATAATTTTCACTCTAGAACAATAAGCAGCATAATCCCATTCCCATGAACTTCTGAGACTTGGGACATATATACTGGACCCAATTCTACATATTTATACACTGTGCAACTCCAATGGATATAAGCCTGTACAGAATTTGGCCCAATGTCTCTAAGTTACTGATGTAATAAATTAGATGAACTTACTTGCTTATAATTTCAGGACCGTTAATAACTGAAACGTGGGCTCCCACTTCATTTGCAACAGCTCTGGCAATCATGGTCTTCCCAGTACCTGGGGGACCATACAGTAGCACCCCTCTAGGAGGAGGAATTCCTTTAAACAGACACAGAGAGAAAAGCGTTACTTGTGCTTAAGGCGGTTGTGAACAAATCAAATCACCATGCTCCACCGCTCTACAATATACATGTCCACATTACTGATTTCAATATTCTACATGCTTTTATTTAAAAAATATAGGTATATACTAATTTTTAATAAAAACCTATTATATAAAATGTTATTTTCCCCAATAATCCTATTGAAATACTTCTGATTGAAAACCTAGCATTAATTAAATCTTTATTATGTTACTCAAGATTCCTACAATACTGTTTGTACAAACCTCCAGCATAACAAAACCACTCCACTTCATTACAGGTACGCACACCTTAAATAATATTATTAAAAAGACTGGAAATACCAAATATAAGAATGAATGTGCCTCTGTAATAGCAAATATTAGGAGATTGGGGATAGCTGACAGCTACTGATGAGCATGAAGGTCAGACAAGGGCATCTGCCAGGGATGTCAGTAAAACAAGGTGTCTCTGCATATAGTTAAAACAAGAGAAATTACAGCCGAACTGGAGGAGAGACAGGTTCGGAACACAAGTATATTCCAGAAAAATTAAATGGTTTCAGCCTAGAGTCCAATAAAACAGGCACACACACAAAAATTAAAAACAAGAAGTTTAAAAGCCAAAAATAGGTGTACTAGAATTCCTGACAATGGACCTTGGCAGAATGAGCATTACTGAAATATGGTAGAATGACAAATGGCCAATGAAATATTGTAAGCCTGACAATAAACTATACAAGGAGGACCAATTATACCATAGAGGTGATAGAATAAAATCTAATGAGATAAATTTCCTGAGAACTATGGATTCTGTATGGATAAGCCCAACCCCTAGGAGTACATATGCAAGTAGAACAAAAAACTAAACATTAATTGACAAGAGTTAGGAAGAAACTTCCTCTTTTACCAGGTTACTCCTTAACGTCCACCGAGGGAATTGTTGCACATTCCTCTGATGCATCTGATGCTTGTCAATGTGAAGGAAAGAGACCAAGTGTCTGGTCTAGTATGCAATTCCTATGCTATTGTACTGCAGATAACCACATATTCAGGCCTAATGATATTGAAGTAAATATAGGGTTTGATATCTCTCTGATGCCATTAGCAGAGGAGATGCTGATTATCCAGATGTCACCTATGGTATGGTGCGGGATTTGCAGCAGCATCCCTTCCTTTCCCTGACACATGAAATCCCCTGGTGCATCTTGAGGTTTGGGCTCTGTGGACAGAGCATGGATGGGCATTCTCCATGGCATCATCCCACAGAAACCCAGAGGGAAGCCCTAAGCAATATAAACTGGCACACCCATCATTGTCTTACATGGATTGTCCCTCTGTTCCAACACCCACATCCCCCCAGAGGAGACAGGCAAGGTGGAGAAGCAATGCAGAGGTATAGGACCCCTGCAATGAATAAATTCTGGCCCATACCCCATATCCCAAGATCACATGGATCTCAGAACATAAATGGGTTCTAGAGTCAAACACCTTGGCCATTCCAGAGAGAGACAAGTAATCCCCCTGCTGACATAATGATTCTGAAGGTGAAAACCTGGTTATTTCCCTCACCTCGGCAGATTCTTCTCACCTAGGGTACAATCTCTCCACTCAAAGTGATTTATGGGTCAAAGCAGACAACAGGGTTTACCTCAAACACCTGTAAGTTTAGCAGCCACACCACTCTCCTACCCCTATCTATTCCCTTTCTAGAAAAACTTACCCAGGACTTTAACTTTTCCTAGAAATTATGGATAGAAAACACCTATTAAGATAAACTAATCCATCTGCTGCAAATGAAGGATTATTATCATTCCCTACAGTACTATCTAGTGCTTTGTCCCATCTTGTTTTACATTGTCCAAAGCACTGTGATTTAATCTAAGAAAACATCATAATAAATAATTTTAATGTTTAAATCATTGCATCCTTTCCAATTCACATGGGTGAATTGCACCATATTCTTTTCTATAATTTACAGAAACCCTGGGTCAGACAGAGGGAATTAAAAGGGGGGGGGGATGAGGGTAAAAACTAGAATTTGATTGGCCAATCTTTAAATTAAATGCACTTTTTTTTTTAATTGAACTCTATAAAAACAGACTTTAAGCAGTGGAGTTACAGAAGAGTACCTGTATTTTTCAAGTGACTGACTCTATAACTCCTTGCTACTCGTCATGAGTTCCCCTGGGTAACTACATCATCACAGACTCTCCTCTCTAAGGCATGATCCTTACGACCTAAACATTTGGTTATTAAAAAAGGAACAACTGTAGAGAAGATAATTATAACAGAGTTTAGTTGGGAACTAAAGTACATCAAATCTGTATCACACAGAGAGGGAATGTGTGTTTCATATAGAGTGACTTGTTAATATGGGTGAAAGTGGTAAGTTAAAGAAAAACATTGTCTTAGATGAAGAAAACCAACTCTTAGACATCATACCGTAACACTTAAACAATTCAGGCTGCTTCAGGGGCAGTTCTATTGTTTCTCTAATAGTTTGTAGCTGGCTGCTTAAACCACCTATCATGTCATAGGTAAGGATAGATTTACAGTCATGTTCTTCTCTTGCAATGGTCCGATTCTCTATGAAATTGACTCTAGTTCTTGAAGAAATAAAGTAAAAGGTATCCAAATTGCATTTTGCTCCAGTGTTGCCAGTGGGTAGCAATCTCACGCTGTCTTCATCTCTGATTGATTCAGAACCATCAATAAGGTCTCTGACATTCCCCTTATTACAGAACTCATCTGTCCGGTCATAATCCTGCTCACCCCCTATCACCACAGCATTTGAAGTAACTGGTGAACTTTGAGACATCAGCTTGCATGGAGTGCTGGTAGATGCTCCTTCCTGGTTGTCTTCTATGTCCAATTTTCTGAGCTGCAAAGACAAGTTTAGAGCACTGGTCTCCAAGTCAGTCTTCTCAAGGACTGGCTCTTGTGTTTCACTGAAAACAGTAGTTCTCTGCATTTTCAGCAGGGTCCCATCGGTTCCTTTCACCCTCGTCACCATCAAGTTGCAAGGTTTGCCATAGAAAGTGAGATGCAAAAGGTTGCCTGGCAAAACTATCTTCCCATCTACAAGAAGATTAAATTTTAGTAAATGAAAAATTGTTCTAATTCATTCATATTTGAAAAGTATTGCTGGAAAGTAAGATTAATATGTATTTTTTTTTAAATCATTAAACCTCTAAAACAGATGTCACAAATTAACTGTCCTAAAAGACAAAGTGATAAAAAGACAGGAAAATACAGTTCTCATCTAAAATGATCCCTTCAAACATAGCCAGCCTCCATAAGGATAAATATTCTGAATGACTGGCCATTGGTATTTCTGGTTGTTTCAAATTTTTGAGCACATAAAAAGTTACAGATTATATTTCTAGCAAAGACAGTTCCTTAAACTCTCTATTTATTAGTGTCTTCCACTGTCTCAAGATTTTACTTTAAATCCCAGCTCCTGGAGTCATGTGCTTATGCAAGAAGCTCAGCTCTCTCTCTCTCCTCATAACAGAAATAAATTCATAACCACAATTGTTGGGAGTGCATCGCATTATAATGCAGAAGACCAAGACAGACTTTTAAACCATCTCAGAATGAACTGACAGCAGCCATGGTGGACTGAAAACTATGTTTCATGCAAGTATATTATTATTTGCTATTCACACCGTAGTGAGGTGATGTCACCCAGAATGAATAGGTCAATAAAAAGTTTAAGGAGTTTGTAAAACAAGCTAAAGTCCTATGATGAAGTGCTGAAGAGGCAAAAGTCATTTTGGAATAAGCCTTTGATGAAGATAGTGGGTGACTGATATTTACTCTCAAAAAATGGCTTTTCTACTAAAATATATATGTAAAACAAAAAAACACAAACCACTTACCTAGATTTCGCAAAAGACAGACAGACAAGTCTTCAACATTAATACAGGCATCTTTGTCCCTGTGGTTGTGATGAAAAACAATTTTACAATCCCCTAGTAAATCTAAAAACAGAATCAGTCTATAATATTGATAACTCATGATTTATTCATTAACAGTAACTTCTTTGTTTTGCAGTACAGGGTATAATTTAACTCTGCAAACAGAAGAAACTGATGGGCAAATTTACAAGTTGCTCTGTTTGACTCATTGTAGTCTAGTCATAAATATATTTACATTGTATTTGCTCTAAGGCTAACCAACAACCAGTTTAAATATTAACAATATAAGTCAAGATTTATCATTCCTTAAAATGAGAAGGATGAGATACGTATATCTCTCAAGTGACTACTGTTCTGACTTACAGTGACAGTGGTTACTTCATTTACTGAATCAGTAAATGATACAGAAAAAAAACTAATTTTATACCGCAGGCCTGCAAATACTTTCATACATGAGTAGTCCATTGATTTCATGGGCAATACATGCATTTGTAAAGGTAAGCACAAATGGGAGCATTTGCAGATCTGAGGACCAAGCCCTTTCCGACTGTGCAAAGTTTTCCCTGCAGTATATTCTCTAGTACTGTACTTCATGCAATCCAGTTTTAAATGAGGGATGTTAAACCATTTACCTATCAAGAGTATCAACAGTCTAATACATTACATTCAGGATTTTTATTTTTATTTTTTTGATAGTTAGCCTAAATTTTCTCTCTCTCTGTTTCTTCCCTAATTTTACCTTGTTCTGTAACCATGTTAAATAATTCTTCCACTTCCTTGGCATTTACATTTACACCCTTGAAATGTTTGTAGGTGATCATCACAAACTATCCTTTTTTCCCTTTACACTAAAAGAAAGGAAGATGCTTCTCAAAGACAAATTCAACCAAAACATTTTACTTTTTTAAAAGAAAACATACCAGATACAGAAACTGCAACTAAAATTATGGTCAACAGAGGGAGTTCTAAGTCTACTAATCACAAAGTCTCTTCCCCAAATATTTTTACTGAACAAGGAGAAAATTCTAGGACAAGAAACATATCATAAATTTTTGAGAAACTTCAAGTCGCCATACAATTTTATGACCCTAATGCAGCAAACACTTATGTATTTAATTGCCTTTACACATCTAAGTAAAACTCTTGCAGTCATTTAAACTGGTGGTTCTCAAGCAGGAATACGGATACCCCTGGGGGTATATCGACTCATCTAGATATTTGCCTAGTTTTATAACAGGCTACATAAAAAGCATTAGCGAAGTCAGTACAAACTAAAATTTCATACAGACAATGACTTTTACACTGATCTATATACTATACACTGAAATGTAAGTACAATATTTATATTCCAATCAATTTATTTTATAATTATATGGTAAAAAGGAAAGAGTAAGCAATTTTTCAGTAATAGTGTGCTGTAACACTTGTATTTTTAGGTCTAATTTTGTACATAACATAAAAACTTAAGAATGGCCCTACTGGGTCAGACCAAAGGTCCATCTAGCCCAGTATCCTGTCTTCCGACAGTGGACAGTGCCAGGTGCCCCAGAGGGAATGAACAGAACAGGTAATCATCAAGTGATCAATAACCCTGTCGCTCATTCCCAGCTTCTGGCAAACAGAAGCTAGGGACACCATTCCTGCCCATCCTAGCTAATAGCCATCGATGGACCTATCCTCCATGAATTTATCTAGTTCTTTTTTGAACCCTATTATGGTCTTGGCCTTCACAACATCCTCTGGGGCAAGGAGTTCCATAGGTTGACTGTGCTTTGTGTGAAGAAATACTTCATTTTGTTTGTTTTAAACCTGCTGCCTATTAATTTCATTTGGTGACTCCTAGTTCTTGTGTTATGAGAAGTAGTAAACAACACTTTATCTACTTTCTCTACATCAATCATAATTTTATAGACCTCAATCATATCTCCCCTTAGCCATCTCTTTTCCAAGCTGAAGAGTCCCAGTCTTATTAATCTCTCCTCACACGGATGTCGTTCCATACCCCTAACCATTTTTGTTGTCCTTTTCTGAACCTTTTCCAATTCCAATATATCTTTTTGAGATGGTGCGACCGCATCTGCACAGAGAATTCAAGCTGCGGGCGTATCATGGATTTATATAGAGGCAACATATAAGCAAGTACTTTTTAAGTGAGATGAAAGTTGGGGTATGCAAGACAAATCAGAATCCTGTAGTCTGGAAAAGTTGAGAAACACTGATTTAGATGACATGTGTGCACAAAATTAAGAAAGCATAGAACTGCTTACAGGAGGAGGGACTACATTAATACTTATTTTACAAATTTAGTAGTCTTACAAGAAATGATAGTGCTAAGGCCAGAAGCAATTAAAGTGACTTTAGGATCTAGCCTACCATTTCTTTCTTTACATATTAATAGAATAATTCTAGAAGCCCAGCCACTGGAACAAAACATAATGGAGGGGGGAAATCTGGTTTAGGAAAAGTCTCAGCATTCTGCTTAGGAAAAGTTTCTAAAAGATTATTATAACCAAAAGTATTTTAGAAATTAGGAAGAATTCCAGTGGCAGTTCTCTTTTAGGGAAAATCTATTTCATAAAAATGTTACAGCTGAAAACACAGGAAGGTATGATGTATAGTATTCACATACAACACATACAGACACTAAGTTTATTTTATTAACTTTACTTAAAAACACCTACCTTTCTGGTGGAGGGTTTAAACGAAATGAGTATTTTCTACCACTTAACTAAACTAAGGGGGGCATGTAACACTAGGCAAGCTTTCCATATCCTTTGCTTTGCTGTAGCTTAAAACGGTAGTTATATGTTTTTTCCCTATTAGGAAAAAAAGAATAGCAAGCGTACCATATGGAGTTAGTAACAGGAGTTGTGAAATATACAGCAAAGTCATCTAGAACAATTAGAGTAGGACAACTGGCCTGATTATGTTACTGACACTGGCAGTGTGTGCCTGACTTTCTAGAGTATTAAAATGTGTTTGCCATCATTTCTGGCACGCCAATTTGTATGAGGGTAGCCTCTCCATATTCAAAGGGACAATCATATGGTTAGATCTGAAATTCAGGGGTTGGGCAGGGATAGGGAATATAGTTTACAAAAATTAATATCACACGGTAATAAAAACTAATATTCCAGGAATCTTTAAAAAAAATGTTTGAACTGAAACATTCCCCACCAACCCACATGTTATATCAGTGAAGTATTGCCAATACTGCAAGATCAAAAATCATGAGTCAGATCAACAAAAATCAAAAGATTAAAAAATAAAAGTTAAAAAAAAAATCAAGTAGCTTCATGATTTTAAAGCTTATTCGTTTTGGTGTGTTTACTCCTCCTCCCCTTGTCTAAGTTGCAAGTTGAAAATTCAAAGTGAAATGTAAAAAAACTGCACTCAACATGATAGTGTCATCCCTTATTCTTCCTGTCTGATGGAAAGGTCATTCCTTCCAGTTTCCTCCTCCACCCCATCACCGTTCTTCCCCCATCAAGCACCTTGAGTGCTCTCCTCAACTCCTCCCAAACACCACTGCATGGTGCCTCCTAACCACCTTACAAACACACTATGTCCTGTCTCTTCCCTAGGCACTGCTTCCCTGCCTTTTTCCCTGGCCTCCTGGGCCTTTGCCTTGCACCCATCTCCCCTGCACTGTGCTCCCCCATCATCCCATTCTGGGCCCAGATCCATTACCCCATGTCTGTCCTCTGTTCCTCTGCCTCCGAGCCTTGCTCCCACCATCCTATCCTGTGTCTACAGCTTCCCACACAGAACCAATGGCAGGAGAGAGTTCTTCAAAGAGTTGTTTATCTACAGGCTAGCAATATTGCTCACCTCAAGTATACACACACCACGAGTCAGTGCCCACAAAATTATCAGACGGACTTGAAAATCGTGACATTTTAAAATATAATCAATGTTAGGTTCTTTTTATTTGCTTTCTTGTGTCATGAGTCTTTAGGGTTCATATTTTCAACTTTCTCTCCACATATTAGGTTACCAGCACTCCAGGACTGTCCTGGAGACTACAGGAATTAAAGATTAATCTTTAATTAAAGATGTCACGTGATGAAACCTCCAGAAATACGTCCAACCAAGACTGGCAACTCTACAAGGGCTACAAACCTTTTTTTTTTTCTTTTTTTTTTTTTAATTAAAGGAAAGCTGAGATTCTCACATAAAACTGAACTCCTGAATTTATGAGGTTAACAAAAATGTGAAACATTCCAAGAGTCAAGGTAAAATTGTTAAAGCTAACAACACTGGAGTAGAGACAGGGACACTCTTTTCCTTCCTATGTCCCCTTAACTTTGGTTATTCTACCAGTCCAACACCAAGAGTGTGGAAAAAGGCTGGAACACTACTACTGCCACCTGGGGCTCCCCAGGGCCAGTTCCTGCTTCCCCACGCCACATACTATGCAGAGCTGGGAACTCAGGCTCTACAGAAGACAGATAGCAACAGACCTCATGAGGGCAAGTGGAAGCTGCATTCCAGACTGGGCCCTGTGGATAACTGCACACTTACACACATATACCCCAGTTTGATTCCTGAGATAATATCAGCGGTCTGCAAGGTGGTCTTCAAGGCTTAAACCAAGCATTAACTGATGGAGTTAGAAAAAGCTTGACCTTAACTGTCCACTCACAGATTCCTTACACCTTCCTCTGAAGCATCTGGTGCTGGCTACTATACAAGACAGGATACAGGACTAGATGGACCACAGGTTTGATCCTACAGTCTTCTGAGAGCACAGACAGCTGTGACAATTATACAAAATCACAGGGCTCAAGTCTAGTTGCTCTACCTAAGCAAATGCAAAATCTACACTAACAGCATTGCCAGAGACAATTTACATTTTTAAAGGGAAGTTAGATTTGTAAAATTATTTCACCATTCCTAATGTGAATACTCCACACTCACATAAATATTTCTTTTGGCCTCAACTACTCTATCAGTAAGGACTTTGCAGCATCAGCCTCTTAATTACAATATTCACAACACAAGTAACGACTTTTTCTAATATTACTTTTAACCTGACGGCATCTCTTTCAAGCAGAGACCATGCTCATCCTTTAAAATAATCTGAAACCAAATTACAAACTTTTTTGATCTTATGGTCATAAAGAATTGCCTGAACCAACTTAGCACAACCTCTGTTTCTAAAGGAGATATTAGGTCAAGAAACTAATAAATATATAAAACACCTGCTAGCTCCTATTTCCTATTATCCTGACATGCTTCCCTTTGTGATTTTATTTTTCCTTTTGGATTATCAACAACAAATTGTGATGGGGTGTACAAACCCCATACCAGTGTCACAGGGATGGAAGAGCTAACGTGGGCAGGGCTGGCCCTGCCCCTCTGGCCAAGGGTTTTAAAGCAGGATGTTCCACACTGTTGCTGGGAGAGAGCACTCAGCAGCTCTATGGCTCCCAAGAGAGACTCCTGCAAAGCTTCAGGGAAATTGCCCTCAAGGACACACGCTGATCCTACAAGAAGACAGCACACCTCGATATACCAGCTGGGCAGGATGGGTTTGGAAAGCCCCAAAGCAACCAGTTAAGTGGTCAGTGCTGCTATCCTCAACCCTTCCTGGAGGTAGGGAATCTGAGACTATATTAAAAGAACCTAGGGAACAGGAGCTCCTTCAAACCCAGTCAGACTATTCTGCTCAGTTTAGTATCACCAAGACTCCTGTTAATGCCATTTTGCAGCACCCAGACAGCAGGAAGTGCCTATCAGTTTCCTGAAAACTGAGACACAAATATGCAATTTATAAATGGTACATGCTACATTAAATTTTTCAGTCAATTCAGCTAAAGCGCAACTCATAAAATCTTCTGAGTGCAAAAATCCCACAGGTCTCCGGTCCAGGAGGGGTTCCAAGAGGCAGTACTATGCTACTTCCCAAAACAATATTAGGTCCCAATCCTGTCAGTACTTTAAGCACATGAGTAGTCTCATTGAAACGCAAAATGGACCTGCATCCACCTATAACAGGCCTTAACTTGATCTAGAACGCACAGATTCTAGAACGTACGCACACTGGGAGGTAAGGTAATGTTCACAGAAAAATTCCAAACCTCAGCTTCACATCTACTTCTTCTGCCTGCACCACTGCCCCGACCACAGGCTGAACAGTGACTGCCTCACCAGGTTTCACTCGCAGATTCTTCTGAGTGATTCCACTTAGGCCAACTTTCCCTCCTGGGAAGCCTGCAACTGGCCAAGCTGTACAGACCTACAGAGAGTTTCAAATTAAATTAAAAAAATAAAAAAAAACACCGCACACACTTGGTGATTAAGAGCTTTTTTTGGTTGTCATTCCCTAATGAAAGGTGAAAAACCCTTCATGCCTTTTGAGTCAAACTCCACAAGGGATTAAGGATTGTGTTAAAATGAAATATTCCATAAACACTTAAAATGCAAGGCAATTAGCACTGGACTCCTTAAGGGCTGAACTAAAAAAGCTTTCTAAAAATTTAAGGCTTAAATTTTGTGAATGAGAGAGAAAAACTAAGGGTAGAGTTTTTCTGTAGATAATGGAAGAGCATCGTCAACAGTCTGGAGTTCATTCCCTTTCACTATTTAAAAAAAATAAAATAAAATGGAGTGACTTTTAATGGCACTAGCTAAATCCAGGCAAAGAGCAATCAGAAGCTGTGCACAAGTCTCAACACCAAGCTGCAAAAACAGCCTGATGCACAATTCATCTGCTTTTCCAATCCTGAAGTATAACACATAACTGCACTAAATTGTGTGGAGAACTAGAATTCAAAACTGGAATTTTGAAATCTCCAAACTCATCTCCCACTTGTGACCTAACTCCAATCCACCACTTAGCCAAGCACAAAATTAGCCTAACCGACAGGAAAAGAAATCTCACCTCTTGTTTTCCATCTGTACTGGTAAGCAAGACTGGTCGACCTATGCATATATTTGCTGATTTCATACTGTTGAGTCCTAGTTGCACAAGGACTCTTCTGTACATTGTAGGAACTTTGTCATCTGCTAAAATAGAGAAAATATGTCACTCTTTTGTACAATAAGTGAACTTAGTGCTTATAACATAGAGGGACAAGACTGCAAACAAAACTCCTCTGTTCTGACATGAAGCAGTTGCATTGTCATTACCACTGCTGTAAAATTCACTACACTACAAAAACAAGTATGCCTGTTCAGTATCTACACTTTTTCAATTCTAAGGCTAGAGAGTGAATCATAATGGTGGGTTTTGTGGCTTTAGCACATGAGGAGATAGCACAGATAGCCACAATTAATTTCAAGGCAGCTTGAGTACATGTGCTGCCTTTTGACTACCACTCAGATGGAAGAGGTTACAACTCCTCTTAATCTTCCTTGAAAGCCAGTTTCTTCAGCCATTCAGTCTCTATTTTTATTTTTATTTTTGAGACGGGACAGTGTTGTCCTATTCAGCTAGGTTTCTGAACAGCTATCAGATTATAACTTTTGGTCACTATCACCGTGCTCCAGATTTGAACCAGTGATACAGAGGAGGTCTGCATGTCCCATTACCAATCTCACGATCTTTTCAATATCTAATGTGGTGGGCAGATGGCCACTGAAAAGAACAGCACAACCCAGGAGCCATGTCTCTACGAAAATATTTCTGCAACAGAGCAATATTTTTTTTAATTACTTCGGTCTACTAATGAATTGTTCAGTTTAATTGGGAGCTGCTGCAGCAGGAAGAGGGTAAGCAAAAACAGAACAGTATACTTTCATTCTTAAAGGAGCAATAAGCATGACTTTTTTTTTTTTAATCATTTAACATTACTGCTTTCTTACTTCGTTTTTAACTTGGAGAGGAGACTAACAGATTTATTTGGGCATAAGCTTTCATGGGTAACTGAAGAAGTGAGGTTTTTTACCCACGAAAGCTAATGCCCAAATAAATCTGTTAGCCTTTAAGGTGCCACCGGACTCCTTGTTGTTTTAGTTTTTAACTTTACTTAGTAGTTTCTGTGGAGTTATTTATGTTTGAATAAGTAGAGTTGCATACAGAAAATACACAATTTTTTAAAAATCCCAAAGCTCCATTTAATGGTATAGCCAACCTCAGTGGTGGTAGCCTACTCTTGTACAAGCCTTTTAGTGTCTGTTTTTACACTGAAGAACACAGTTATGTGGTTCCAATCCTGCAAATGCTTACATATAAGAAATCCCATTAAAATCAATGGGAATAACTCACATGTGAGAGTATCTGCAAGATTAGGGCCTATATTTATTCCATACTATATACACTGTGTTGCATTGTAGCAGATGTGCCTTTTGGTTCCAATCCTATCAGATCTACGCCAGCATGCCTTTGCACAAGCGTATGATCAAAACAGAGCCCTGTAGGGCACCAATGGCAAAGTTGCAGCTTTACTTTAGAACAGCTACGGTCTTATTTATGTTGCGTAATTTACCAGATCTACAGCACCGTGTATGTTGATTAAACGATCCATAAATACAAACTAATAGTAAATGTTTGTATGCAACCTTGCATCTCAGATGGCACATAACATTTTTGTTTGCTTGTGTGTTTGTTTTTTTGAAGAGGGCACCGTCGGGTCTAGCAGTGTAGCACCAAAATGTGGGCTTTTAAAAACCGAATTTTTGAAACTGCATGACCCCCCCGCCCCCAAATACACACACACACACACACAGCTTTACTTGAATTTAAGCGCGTTTAAAATGCTACAACCCCAAAGTTGTGCTGATGTCTTTAACACAACATGAAAATCGACTGGTCCAGGAAAGTCACAAAAATGCAAACAGTTGAAAGGGGGAAAGCAAACTGGATTCTTGAAAATCCTCTTTCCCCCATAACTATTCTACAGGGTTTAAACTCTCTTCCCCCAGGCACAGAGGAAGGACGATTTTGCTGGGGACAGGTGTGTTAAGCAACCTTTCCCCTCCTGCCCCCGGCACAGCGAGGGAGCCGCAGCCGCTTGGCTGGAGAGACAGCGCCTGCCGCTCGCACCGTACCTTTTTCCAAGAAGTCTGCAGCCGCCAGCGTCAGCAGAGCAGGGGGCCGCTCCGCCGGCTCCGGGGTGACGCTGGGGGAGCCGCTCTCGGGGGGCAGCCGCCCCCTGCTCTTTCTTTTGGGGGCCGACATGGCAGGAGGAACCGGCCCGGCAGCGAACACGTGCGCGGCCCCTGGAAGTGCTTCCCAATCAGAGTGCAAAGGCCGGCGCCGCCCCTTAGTCCCCGCCCCGCCTGCCAGCAGCAGCCCTCGGCTCCTGCCCGCGGCGCAGAGCGATGCTGGGGGCCTGGGCGCTGCGCTGGGGTCTCCCTGCACGGCGCGCCCCGAACGGGGCAAGGCCCCAGCCGGCCCGAGTCCCTCTGTGCGGCCGCCGCTTGGGGAACTTAGCCGGTTGCAGCCTGGCGGCAGCCGGGCCCCAGCCACAGCTGGATAAGTTTGGCGGCGTAACCGTGCACCTGGCTCAGCTTCACACTCCAGACAGCCTGGACCAAGTCACCTTCCAGAGATGGCTACAGGGCAAGTGCATTTCAGGGCCACGGGGCCCGCGCAGCAGCCTGAAGGGCCACACGCTGTCCCGGTGGGCACAAGGGGACTGTGCTGGAGGGCAGCAGCTACAGAAGATCAGGTCTTGTGTAAAGAAGTGATCTCCCCACCCCTCATTGGGACCAGTAGCAAAACTCCCACTGACTAAACTGAGCCCAGGATTTCCCCCCCCGCCAGGGCTCTCTAATCTTTACAGGAGGAAGCAGGGGTATCAACATACATAAACCACACAATAATAACAAACGCTACCAGTAATCCTGTACTCACACAAACCTCCCATTGCCTTCACTGGGACTACTTCCTCACTTGGGAGACCATGGGCACCACCAGGCCCAAATAAAGTAATTTATTCATTATGTGGTTAAAATTTGGTATATTGAATGCCCCCAGCTGAGATTTTATAAAGCACCCAGGAGCGTGTATTTTGCATAGCTTCCTTTATTTCAGTTTGAAACTATCTTTTTTTAAATTAGATTTAAACATTGCTCTTTGCGATCTGCAACCCAACAGTAGCAGCCTTATGCAATCAGATACCAATTTGAAAGAGTAACTGAGGAATCTGTTTTTATTGTCCAGTATAAATTCAGCATAAGGGGGGGGGGAGGAGAGACATTAATTACAAGTAAATTGTGTTTTTAAAAAGTTTTAATTTTAAATTGTTAATGGTATATTATCCAATTTTGCTTGTCAAATTTTAAGTCCTAATGTTCCTTTTCTAAAGGCCATTTTTTAATCCCTTGAAATGTCCTCGTATACATCTACCTGTCATTCTTGACTCTGAAGAGAAAGCATACTTATCTAGCTGGCCTACTAGCCTCCAATCTAATTCTTTCCTCGGGATGGCATAATTGTGTAACCTTGGGTTTACAATTGCACAACACAGAATTCAACCTTTAACTTCTATTACTACTGGAGGAAAAAAAGTGAATACATGCAAAGCGCAGAATCTGTATTATCCATTGTGTAAAGCTGTAAGCAAAATGTATATAAAGTTCCACCAAAAACCTACAAACAACATAATATTGTAAACCACAATACGGGAGATCCACTGTTTAGACAATGATAAATATCTCTTGTACTTTAATTTCCAGTGATAGTAGCAAATAACTTGACTGATCAAGAGACTATTCAGTTATTTGCATGTTCAAAATGAGTGTCCTTACTGCCAGTTACCATCTTCTTTGGAGATGTGTTTTCATTGTTATTCTTAATTAAGTAAATTTTTTTCACTGTTACCCAAAATTATTATGAGAAGACAGTTATTTGAATTAAAACTTGGATTGTACCTATAGTCAAAGAAGTAACTGCAAATAAGGCAGTTTATTTTTCTACTTATTAGTTGTCTCTGTATATATGAGTCTGATCCATCAAAAACTTGAGCCAGCAAACAGGCATGGAATTAACTTTTACTACAGGACGTAGTCCCAATGGAGAAAGGATGGACAACTGGTTAGAGCTCCTTCCTAGGACTTGCAAGACCTGAATTCAAGTCTGTGCTCTGCCATGGACTTTGTGTGCCTCCTTGGGCAAAATCGGTTAGCCTCTCTGTACCTCAGTTCCCCATCTGTAAAATGGGGATAATAGTACTACTCTGCTTCTCAGGAGTGCTGTGAGGATAATCACATTGGAGATTGTGAGGTGTTCAGATATTACAGAGATGAGGGCTATGTAAGTATGATGGAAAGTTAAGCACATGCCTAAGTGCTTGCAAGATTGGGGCCTGTGTTCTCTGACAAAAATAAGTTACTACTGTTATCTCTGCAAAGTTAATGCAGCTGTGGAAAAGTGAACTAGATTCTACTCCTTATCATTCTTACTCAACAAAATCATCACATAAATCCTATCTGGAGAATCTTTTTTACTAGTGATCATGTAAGAAGCAGAAAGGACACAGATGAATTTTTAGATCCCAGGTACAATTTGCATAATTGACACTTGAAAGCAAAGTTTTTGATTTGTAAACAGAGTAAATTGTATGAATAGAAATTGAGTCAGATTTTCAGTGCCATACCCCCTTTTTGCAATCAGATTTCACCTACATTTTTTCACCTGTTATTTGCTCCTGCAATAAATGAGGCCAGCTTGAAAACCTTTAGAAATCAGGCCCTAAAAGAGAATGAATATGGAATATGCCACAATATAATTTCATAATCACTTTTCTGACTACTGCTGTTACTCTACATTAAGCTCTGCTATTATGTTCAGCAGAACTAAAGAATTTAGTAAAAAGGGGGGGAGGAGTGGCCATCAGAGGACAACAGCTTTTATTTTCCCATCTGTTTTCTTGATTTGAAAGTATACAATGAGTTTTATGTTATCTTTTTTTTCCAGAGTCTGTCAAGCAATGGAGAGCAGAAGGCAGAATAGCAGTCTGGCTGCACATTCCTATTCTCCAAAGCAAATTTATAGCCACTGCTGCTTTGCAGGGCTTTACTTTCCACCATGCAGAATCAGACTCATCCACGCTGACCCTGTGGCTAGGAGAAGGGCACAGCAGGTTACCAGGGTATGCCACGCATCAGTTAGGAGTGGCAGGTTAGTTCTAAAAACAATTTTATTTATGAAAAACAGCTGATGGTTTAGGACCTGATTCAGCAGTAAGTCAGCCAGGCGTCCACACTACACAAACCTGTAGGACAACTTTGTGAAGTGCAGTCTGTCATTCATGAGTGTCCCTACAGAACAAATATATTGTGTTATGTTGGAATAAAAACAAACTGGTAAGCTGATGTCTCAGTTTTCAGGGTGAAAAAATTTTTAAACAGTGTTGGCTAATGGAATGGAGTCCTGAAGCTTTAAAATTTCACCTGTCCTATAGGACTCTATTGAAAAAAACTAAACAAAATCAGGAACTCTATGGCATTCACCCTGCAAAGAGAGAAATGTCCTCCAGGAGAGATGGAATGTTAAGGCTCCAGAACTATAATTAAAAAATGAGAACTAATAAGTATCTTTTTTCAAAAATTAGAAGGAATACAAGAGTCTTCTTAAAGGTATTCTATGTACTGTAAACATGGACTCAGTTCTTGGGGGCATCCAAACATGCTAAAATACCTGTCATGGTTATAGGACTAGCTGAATCTCTGATTTTGGGGGCACCCCCCCCTGGTCTCACACCTCCTGCCTTTACTTTCCCAGGGGTTGAATCACACAATTCTCCCACTCTTAGTCTAGGTCCTGGGCTATAACACCCAATGGCTCAAATGTGCTTATTACAGAGCAGCTCCAAATCTGTGTCACCACCAATTTGAGGGAGTGGGGAGGGGAAAAAATCATCAGTTTTAGGCAATGGTGTACAGGTTAGCTGATCATAGGGTGACCAGACAGCAAATGTGAAAAATCGGGACAGGGGGCGGGGGGGTAATAGGAGCCTATATAAGAAAAAGACCCAAAAATCGGGACATCTGGTCACCCTAGCTCAGTGGCTCTCAAACTTTTTTACTGGTGACCCCTTTCACATAGCAAGCTTCTGAGTGCAACCCTCCCCCCCCCCTAAATTAAAAACACTTTTTTATATATTTAACACCATAATAAATGCTGGAGGCAAAGTGGGGTTTGGGGTGGAGGTTGACAGCTCACAACCCCCCCATGTAATAACCTCATGACCCCCTGAGGGGTCCCGACTCCCAGTTTGAGAACCCCTGCCCTAGCTGATCACCACATGATTTTGAGAGCCTGTAAACAGCCATATGCAAATTCTAGTGAAGAGATAATCTTATAATCTTCCATCTCACATGAGTAAGTTTAATTATATTGTAAAAAGAACATCTAACTATAAAGAAACTTTTTTTTTTTCTGATTTACATTATAAAACAGCTTTGCAAATTGAGTTGCCATTCACACATTTTGCAGTGCAAATCAGCAGAGGGCAGCACAGCTGAAAATGCTTAAGACAAGCCTTGGGTTTTTTTCAATGGACATGTTTGAACATGTTTTCCAGAGGTATGAAAACCTCATCATTAAAATATGTGGCATTAAACTAAGGTCAAACAATGCATTCCCTTTGCAAAAGTACAGTATTATTCCTTATGGTTACAATTTACATATTTGAGAAAATAGAAGTAACTGAAAAGGGATTTTCCTGAAGTAGGATTTGCATAACTCAAAATGTAATTTTAAAAAGTCATAGCTTTTAAAAAAAAAAAACCACCCTGTTTTATATACTACAAAACCAAAATAATGTATGTGGAGAATATCTTTTAAATACTAGCATCTGATTGGCTGTTACTGTGGGGTGAACATTTTGCCTGTATTTTATACAAATAAGAACTAACTTCAAGGGCAGAAGCAATTAAATAGTTCCAGAAATTGTGACATATTGATTTCAAGCACTGCTGCATAATAATTTAATAAAAAAATAACTCTAGGACTGTTTATATATTTATTTTCTGCTATTGCTTTTGAATCCAGCAGGTTTCATTAGGAGTTTTTGATTGAAGGAAAAGATCAGGAAGACATGATAGCATAAATCAGCTGATTTATTTAAGTAAAGCAGTAGCAGTGCTATTCTCTTCTGTATAAGTTCTTCTGTATAGGTGCAGTGGAGGGTTTTCTTTTGGATTATATATTTTTTTACACACACATTCCTATATGTTCATGTTAGAGAAGGCAAGGCGAAAGAAATGCACTGGGGGTGGAAGGTGGTGAGGTTTTTGGTGATCCTCAGCTGCTATGAGAGTTCATTCCACAGTGCCAGATTGGCTCCTGAGAAAGCTGTCTCCTTCACAGATGAGCTCACCCCATTGTAGAACATTACATTGTTCCAGAAAAGCAAAATTGTTGACCACAGTGTTCATACTGGAGCTTTAGGGAGTCTTTTAGATACCTTGGGCCCTGGCCATGGAGCACCTTGAAGATAACAACTGAGACCTTCCACTCGATTCCATATCCTATAGGAAGCCAGTATACAGAACATAGAACAGGTCTGATGTGTTTGTGGTAGCCACTGTTGTTGAGGTGACATGCTGCACCATTCTGTACCAGTTGGAGTTTCCCAGGTGCTGAAGAGTTCATGCCCAGCTATATTGTATGGTTGTGTAGACTAGCCAAGAGATGACAAAGGTGTGAATAAATGAGGCCAGGTCACTATTCACCAGGATAGCACAGAGTCGCTTAGTCAGCTAGAGATGGGAGAAAGTATTACTCACAGATGCTATCTACTATTTAACAGTAGAGAAATGTGTGGTGTTTTCCCCTGTATATGGATTATGAATTTATTGCATCAATTTGCAGCAATCGGATTTTTAGACATGTAACTACTTTTCAACAAAATGGAAAGGTTCTTTCAGTCATTTCCTATATATGTAAAGGTAGGGCCGTCCTTAGGCATACACAGAAGTAATTTGGGGCAGTAAATTTCGTGGTGCCCTAGGCAGCTGTATGCAGCGCTGGCTCCAGCAGCCAGCCCCATCCTGCAGCCAGCCCCTCTGCTCTGCCCCCACCCTGCCCCCATTCGACCCCTTTCCCCAAACCCCCACCCCACCTCTTCCCGCCTCCACTCCGCCCCCATGCCACTCCTTCCCCCAAGCCCCCTTCCCCGAGCAACGCAGCCTGTGGCATTAGCAGGGATACTGGAGCTGGCAGAAGGGGTCGGGCCCAGCCCCGCACTCACCAGCGGCAGGAAGCAGAGTGACCAGGCTCCAGCTGAGTTGCTCCGCTTCCCGCTGCCGCCGCTGGTGAGTGCAGGGGCGGGCCTGACCCCTTCCTCCAAGCCCCCTCCCCCAAGCGACAGGGCTGGGGGAGCGGAGCGGGCTGGGTCCGGGTCGCTCTGTTTCCCGCTGCCACCAATGAGTGTGGGGGGCGGGCCTGACTCCTGCTGCTGGCGCCAGGGTCCCCCACTAATCCCCCGCGCTGCCCTGGGCCTCCTTGCCCTGCTGCTGCTCCCCCCAGCTCCTCCCCCCACGGCCCTTGAGCGCAGTCCCCCCCACCCCTAGCAGAACAGCCGTTCCCCCCACAGGGCTGGTGCAGGTGCTTGGGCTGCAGAGGGCACCACCCTATATAGATAGGGACGGGCCTGTGTAAAGGTGATGTTTAAGGATTCTTGAAATACCAAAATGTTGCAGATATCTCAAGCATCATCTTCTAGAAATATCTGAACTCCCATCAATAGGTGGGAGGGACAGATTCCTTCTCAAATATCCATATACTTTTGTGTCATGCAGAATTTAAGGAAGGAAAAACATGTTACAAGCCCAAGAGCACGCAAATATTTTAAATTAGATATTCTCTGTTCACAAGGGAATACTATGTAATGAGACCCAAGAAGGTTAGGAGTTAGGCTATGTATACCTGTACATGACCAATACCCTGAAACAGAATCTAATCTTTCCTGTCTCCCTCCACGCCTAGTTTAGTACCTACCTGACAATGAGTATTCTTTTTCATTGTTTCAAATTTTGAACTGGTTATGGGAAGAAAGAAAGTACTTTGAGTTGGAGCAAGAGGAGGGTCCTCCTACACCCGGGGTAGTCAATTATTTTTTATCAAGGTCCAGACTCCAGAGAAAATAATTTAAAAATACAACAAGAATGATAATAATAAGTAAATAAGATTTTCAGGGTCCGTTCAAAAGCATCTGGCGGTCTGCCTATTGACTACCCCTATCTTACACAATTGAACAGAAGCCACTGGCCATTGCTATAAAGCAGTGGTTCTCAACCTATTTACCATTGTGGGCTGCATCTGCAGCTCTCTATATGTTATGTTGGCCACATCCACACAATAGATATACTACCTGTATGGTCCTGAGGATGTCACATGGGCCGCAGTTGTATGCTGATTCAGCCACGGGTTGAGAACCACTGCTATAGAGGTTTGTGATAAGAAAAGCTGCTACAAATGACCATGTGATATTGCAGGAAATGATAACATTAAATAGGTTATGGACTTTCCAAAGCAGTTTTGGGAATTTTAAAAACAGTTTTCCATATCTCAAAATAATTCATATTTGTCTGTTAATGTTTATAGCACATGCATTCAGGGTTTATAGCCATTAAGTGGGCCACAGATGAACCTGGGCTCTGAACATCTGTTGCTGGCACAAAGTTAAAACAGTTTTATAATTTTATTCATAAGTGGTTTAGATATCTGCTTTTTGTCCTCTAACAATGGAGTTTTTTTTAATTCTATCATCTCATTCCAAAAGGAGACAAGTGATTGAACAAAATAGCATTCTAATAACTATTGCCTTGGGAGAGGTCAGGTTGAAACCTTTCCAGAGAGTCAATATGGTTCAAAGCATCTGGTTTGAAATACTCTCTAAAGCCACAGATACAAATTCCAGGGCCTGCTATTGATCTCTGATAAAGGAGACCAGAAGCAGACTACCACTAGCATTTTTTCCTATCTTCTTTTTGATTGAATCATTACTTATGACTGGTTCTAGGCATCTCACAGTGCTCAAAGTTACATTGACAGATATCAGTTTGTTGGGAGCAGAGGAGAGAAACAGCTGACCCTTCTTTCTAGTTAAGCCAGACCGCTGTTTGCCATTTCCAGTGGCCATTCTTGGTCTCAGAAAGCCATATGGCTGAGGAGCAGCTTTTCTAGAAAATAACCACTACAACCACAGTGTACATAAAAGTTGATCCCAGCATCTCCTCCCTACCGCCCCCCCCAAACAGGATTCCACACTAACCAGTATTCAGCTATCTATCTACAGGGAGGGTGAAGGAAGCAGATATGACTAATTCCCTAAAGTATGTCCTTTCACAGAGCTTGACTTCAGAGTTGCTATTCCTTTCTCCTACACAGAAAACTCCCATTTCTGTATTATGTAGAAAAGGATGTTTTCAATCTAACAATTCATTCCTTAATAATTCCCTTATGTTAAAATATTTTCCATAGTATTCTAGATGTATGCATCAGAGTGCTAACCACATAGGCTTCGATCTGCTCAAAATTGATAGGAACAGTTCTTCCTGTACTTATCTACTAATTTTAAATCAGTGCACAAATTGATGTGGAAAAGGGCACTGTAAGTTGTACCCACAGTTCTCATTTTGCTCACCAGAGCACATAATTCGAAATCTGTCAAAAAGGAGGTTGGGGTAGTAAAATGTCTGTTTTAAAAGGGACATCTGTTTTTAAATTGGAATCCTTTCAAGAACGATTACTAGGTGTGATAGGATGACTAGACCTGAAAACAGACAGTTTTAAGAAAAATAAGGAAACTTGTCTGTGGAAGAAAGTAACAGGCTAACTGCAAGCACCAGAGTACACTTCAAGGCTTAATTATTCAGTCAGACCCTTGAACTCATATTTTTTTCCACCAAGTAAAGGAGGCTCTGTGCCATTTGGGGAGCAGTGCTATTTGATAAACAGGTTGACTCCAATACTGCTTGCTGTTTAGAAAGAATTCAGATTATCTAGAGAGAATATAAATGAATATATAAGCAAATTGGTAGAATAGTTTCATCATCAATAAAACCAACCTGCTGAATTCAAAATGTGTTTGTGATAAGTAGATGTCATTTTCTGCCTGTTTCTTAATCTGAAAGTACCGATATCTACTGAGGGAACTCCTGGCCTCCAGGGTGGATTTGATTTAAATCAAATAGATTTAAATCACTAGTCAGGAAGACTCAACTTAATCATGGATTTCTACATAAAAGTGCATTCTTGTTGGTTGTTATAACCTTAATACATATTCTTCACAACTCAGAGATAGATGTAGGTGTTTCATTTTTAGAAGGTACACACTATACATTTTTAAAGTGATTTATTTTGAAAACTTTTCAGATTAGTTTTACAGCTATATCAGAAAATGAATGATTGTTTGGTTATTTCATTTACCAAAGGTAATTGAAGCAGATATTTATGAAGTCACTGGGAGGTGAACTATCTCCAATTCAACAGGTTAATCATTAATATTTGGAGGATTTTCTTGCCATGCTGTATTAGGAGGAGAACATTACCAGAAAGACATTTAAATTGTTTTATTTAACTAAAACAACACTGTTATGTATTCTGGATGTTTTTCTTCAACAGCAAACATATAATATTTTAACAAAACAAGCATATGATTTTTTGAATTTAGTTAAACATTCAAGTTTTTTAAAATCAGGTTTGTTTTTGTAAAAAAAAATTTAAGTAAAATAGTTAAATGAAATTTTTTAAAAATTAAAATAGACTGTCAGCCAGGTCAACATGAGAAACTTAAAATATTGGCTTCTGCAGCTAACTCAGTCGTCTTGATCTTCATTTTCCTATTTGTTCATAATCTGGAAAAGAAAAACAAGCTTTCCTGCTTTTTTAGGTCCCAAACAATTGCTCAATTTGGAATGAATTAGTCCAAAGGAAGAAAATATTCTTCTTTCACCAGCAGAAGCAGCTACTACTGTAAAAAGTGAGATTATCACTTCAACAGTCTCTGAATCCAAGTGCTTAAGTGACTTCTACCAGTTCACTGGTGTGACTTTCTTTAAAACACAGGGCTGGCTCCAGGGTTTTGGCCGCCCCAAGCAACCAAACAACAACAACAACAAAAAGCTGCGATCGCGATCTGCCGCGGCAATTCGGCGGAAGGTCCTTCGCTCCGAGCAGGAGTGAGGGACCGTCCGCCAAATTGCCGCCGAACAGCTGGACCTGCCGCCCCTCTCCGAAGTGGCCGCCCCAAGCACCTGCTTGGTAAGCTGGTGCCTGGAGCCGGCCCTGTTAAAACATTAGGAGCAAACATATATTTCTTGAATGGTTCTTATTCCCAAACTGGGTCTCTTTTATGGTCTGCTGCCATTATAGGTTTTCCCTTCTAGTGAGAGAATGGTATGGTAGATCTCAAATCAATGAAGGCTGCAGTCAGAAAGACCTCAAGACTTCTGGAATATGCTGCTCAAAGAGTTTCACTTTTGTCTCTACTGCCTGTCCCTCCCTCCTCACATTTATCTCCAGACTTCTTCTCCTTGTCCAGATCTCTTCTGCCCCCCACAATCTTCTGTTCATTGAACTTTTTGAAACTTTGCACTTTTAGAGAGGTAAGGGATTGACTCTGTACACAAATTTGCAGAGGGACAATAGGGTTGAGGTCTGTTATTTCTCACCTCTATATATTATTTATTTAATTAAAAACATTTTTGCTGTTAACAAGCATGTTATCTCTGAAGACAAATCCAGTTTGAGAACTGCAAAACTAAGCATCTCTGATGGTATCTTCTAGACTGAGTCCCATTGGGTAGATAGAAAGATTAACCTAAATAATCTATACAGAAGCCCCTGGAACCCCATAAGATTGGGTCCCTAATCCATGAACTATTGGAACTCATTTACAAAACTTTTCTTAAACAGTACATGAATATATTGTCTCATACTATAGAATTAGAATTTATAATCCCTATTCCATGATGAGATATCTTTGAACTATCTTTAGATAGGGTTTTTCCTCAAAAAGCATTTTATCAAAAAAATCCGATTTAAATAAAAAAAATCCAGTTGATTTTTATCCACCCTGCTGGCCCCACTGAAATTAGGGAGAGCTTCATCATTTGATTTAACAGAGTCAGGCTTTCACCCAGGATGGTTTTCAGCTGGGGCCTGATTGAAGGCCCACTGAAGTCAATGGAAAGATTCCCATGGACTTAAATGAGACCTCTCTTGAAGAAAGGAATTGACTTCCGAGTATGTTTTGCTAGATTATTTGGAATAGTTTTCTTGGCCTTGGAACCTTACTAGCAGTCATTTTACATAAAACTTAAGATTTTTTTTTCTTTTACATATGATATCTACATCTTAATTTTGGAAAGCACATTTCTCCCATCTTGAGAAGTTTTAACTTTTATACCTGTAATTTGATGTACTTTTTTCATTTAGCACAATCCAATTTTCTGATGATAAATCACCTAGACTAAGCCTAGACCAGGGGTCGGCAACCTTTCAGAAGTGGTGTGCCGAGTCTTCATTTATTCACTCTAATTTAAGGTTTCGCGTGCCAGTAATAAATTTTAACATTTTTAGAAGGTCTCTTTCTATAAGTCTATAATATATAACTAAACTATTGATGTATGTAAAGTAAATAAGGTTTGTAAAATATTTAAGAAGCTTCATTTAAAATTAAATTAAAATGCAGAGCCCCCCGGACCAGTGACCAGGACCCAGGCAGTGAGTGCCACTGAAAATCAGCTTGCGTGCCACCTTTGGCACGCATGCCATAGGTTGCCTACCCCTGGCCTAGACTAAACTTGCACTGATCAGTCCCTCGAAAGGTTTATCATGCTTTCTTTTTAGGTCATGTAAAATTCTGAATTCTAAAATTGTATAATAGTTTCCAGACACTATCTTTCTAAAGTTACCAGAAAATATTCTGTCTCCAATAGGTGCTGCATTGGATGTAGACACTGGAAAAGTATTGGTTGTACAAGACAAAAATAAAGTAAGTTTGTTATATGATTCTAAAATACTAATTAATCCTAAATGGGCTTTGAATATTGTATAAAACAAAGATCTTTTAGCTTTCATTTCTGATGTTAGAATAGTGAAAGTTTACTTTTCTCTACTGGTATTTTTGAATGCTTAACTATAGACTACTCTGTATTTAAAAAGGAGTAAAAAATTGTAAACTTTGAAGGCTGCTGTACTACAGACAGTTCTCAGTTTTGTTAATTTTAAATGGATAAACATTGAATGAACTAGTATTGTGCTTAACTGAATATTCTACTACTTGACAAGTACTTGAGGAATGAATATATAAAGGGCTGCACTATAGACTATCAGCTTGTTCTATGCATATATGTGGCAAGCTGCTAGTTGTAGTATGACCTGATCATTCTTGGTGTTTTGGGAGGGGAAAAAAGCTGTCTAGATGGAAATTTAAAAATACATTGTTGGGATTTTGTGGTTCCCGATAATAACGAAATGAGTCAGATGCCGGGCAGAATCAAGGGTCTTTGATACTTCATTCAATTCAGTTCAACAAGACTTTATTCAATGTGCACAAAAGGAGCCCATGGTTAGAGTGACCAGATGTCCCGATTTTATAGGGACAGTCCCAATTTTGGGGTCTTTTTCTTATATCGGCTCCTATTAGCCCCCACCCCTGTCCCGATTTTTCACATTTGCTGTTTGGTCACCCTACCCATGGTACAAAAATCAGCCAGAGTCCCTCTAACAAGGAGCCCCTCACGTTGCTATTTTATAGTATGTGGCAGTTACATAACAAGTTACGTAAAACAAACCTCTAGCCTATCATATTTAACCTTTCCATACATGGATTTGTTCATCACATGCTTATACTTCTCCACTCCACATGTTGAGCTCACCCCCC